TTTTTGATAATAATTTAGTAGTATTTCAGTAGTTACTACGAATAAAGTTTTGGAGTTGATTTATTTTAAATATTTAAATTAATCAAAAGTATTTGGTTAAAGTATTGCCTTGTTGCATATAAAGTTTGAAGTTATAATAGATTTGGTAAGCACAGATGGTTCGCTCGGTCATGTTTAGTGATCGGGTGCCGGTCACGACTTGTTCAGAAAATGGGTCGTGACAGAGAAAATGCTTCCCGATGAAGCGCTGAGGCCTACACAGAAAGAAGAAAAAAAGTTAGACATGAAGATAAAAATGAACACAAGGGTAATACCAACAAGGGGAGTTAAGGCTTACTCGATTCAGAGCTTGTTGCGCTTCGTTGCAAAGGCTCGATGCCTCACCTGAGTCCTTCCTCGAGACCTCCAAGTCACTCAGTTCGGTAGCATCTTCGACCCTAGTAAAGTAATCACGGAAAGGGTCCTCCCTTCCGTGGGCTCCTTCGATGGAGGGGGTCTTCAAGGCCCGAGCCTCTTGAATCATCTCCTCAGAAAACAAGGGGAGCAACGGGGAGCCTCCAATTTCTATTGCCCCAAGTGGATCACTTGGGTCGTTCTCTCCATCTCGAGGGGCCTTGAGACCAGCCCCTATCGTCGTACCCACCGTTGCCTCATTATGGTGGGAGGCATCTTCAATCCTCGATGACTCGGGGACTTCGCCCAAGTCTCTTCCCGAGACCCCCTCATCTCGAGATGGAGTCTCTGCAGCCTTCACTGATTTAGTAGCCTTTGGGGCCTCGGTGCTCATTCCCACTCGGGCCACCAACCCGGAGTCGTCTTCTTCCTCTTCTTCGTCTTTCTCCCTTAGACGCCGAATAGAGTCTTCGGTCAGAAGGATAATGTTATTCTTGAGCTTATGAGCCGCTTTCTTCTTAGGTTTTGGGTCCTCGGAGGTTAAGGTCTTTTTCCTCTTTTTGTCCTTCGCCGGTTTCGGTGCCGGGATCGAAGTCTCCTCCTCACCAGATAGGGGCCTCATGACAGCATCTTTTCCAAGGCTTGTATGAAAGGAAATTAAGTAATAAATGATTTAACAAAATCATCAAAGACGTGAAAAAGGGGCTTACCATAATTTTTGGCCTCCCATCGGCCCTTGGATAAATCGCGCCATGAGTGCTCGGCGTACGTAGAGGTCAAGGCCAGGTCCCGAACCCAACTCTCGAGGTTAGGAATTACACCAGGCATCCAGGCGACCGCTACATCACGAAAAAGGATATCAATGAGAAGAAGCAAAGGAGCAAAAAGATAAATAGGAGCTAACAGTGGGATTGTACTTATGCTTCATATTCCATTTCTCGGGAAATGGCATCTTTTCGGTTGGGATTAGGTCGGAAGTCCTCACTCGAACGAACCGGCCCATTCAGCCTCGGTCCTTATCATCATTTATGCTCGAGAACACCACCTTGATAGCCCGACGCTGAAGTTTTATTAACTCGCCTCGATAGAGGCGGGGGATATACAACCTGATGAGGTGGTCAAGGGTAAAAGGCATCCCCTCAACTTTGCTCACGAAAAATAGGAGCAGAATAACAATCCACCAAAATGAGGGATGGATTTGACCTAGGGTTATTTGATACTTGCGGCAGAAATCGACGATAATGGGATCGACGGGGCCCAGCGTGAAAGGGCAGGTATAAACACTCAAAAACCCTTCCACGTGGGTAGTTATGTCTTCCCGGGGAGCCAGAATCACCACCTCTTTGCCTTCCCAGTTGCATTCTTTTTTCACCTGCTTAAGGAAGCTCTCAGTTATCGAGCATATATACCTCGACATTGGCTCGCATCGACCAGGGACCGATGAAGTTTTGTCGGTCTTAAAGTCGAAAGTGAGGACGCACCCCCCCGAGAATACACTCCTCAGGGCGCGGCTCCACCGGTGTTTTGTCGCCGGTCGACAGCGATGAAGAAGCATTTTCCTTTTGAGGAACAGTTTTTGACGTTTTCACCATTTGGATTTAAAGTTAAAAATAGATAGAGATGATAAGATTTGGTGTTCTAAGAAGAGGTTAGCAGTGAAAATTGTAGATTTGCAAATGAAGAACTTAGAAGATGTAAAAAGCTTTGGAGATTAGAAAAGGTTGAAGGTAAAGTTTGAAATAGTATAAAAAGAGGCCTATTTATGGGATTCACGGCGACGGTTCAAGGGCACTAGTGGCCGACCACCGACTGATACACATTAATAACTTGGAAAACTGTACCGACGGGACGTTTCGGTCACTTCCGTCGCTTACGTCACGACGGTGACGTCATGGCCGGTCGAGGTAAAAATCGAAGGCTCAATTCGTTTCTTGTCATTACACTCCAAAAAACGAGGGGACTATCTGTATACGGTCAAAACCGAGCCCACCCAATTTTTCTATCTGACCGGGACCAGGGAGCTGCATCGAAGGTCGTCCCCGTAGTGGATCAGACCAAGGTACGAGGACAAGGTACCAAGTTCGGGATTCGAGGTACCTGTCGAGATCGAGGATAGCAGCGATCGAGACCGAATGAGACAGGCATCGAGCAAGATCGAAGATAACATAATAACGAAAAGGCAAAATATCCGTGACTGGTCGAAGATCACGGCGAAAATCTCGGAAAGCATCAAATTAGGAACGGTTAATTAGCTAATCATGGGATTTTCTTCTGTAATTAGAGTTATACCATAAGTAGAATTCCTCTACTATATAAAGGGAAATATTAACCATTTGTGACATATTGTTCTCGCATAAAAAAGGCAATATAACGCTCTTTCTTTAGCTTATACTCTCTTGTTCATCAGCTTGCTTTATTTTTAATTGTTTTAGTATCAATCAGTTCGAGGGCACCCTAGCTCGAGGGTTGAATTCCATTTCAACACTGGTTCGCTTTACTTTATAGTTTATTTTTGTTATTAATCTTCACATTTATTAATTGGTATTAGGTGAAATCATGTGATTAAAATCACATTATAAGTTTAGTTGTTATCCAATTTTAACGGTATACAGAATCTTTATACAGTTTGTGAAGAATAAAAACTTGGGTGTAGGCCTCATTTGACAAATTTTAGCACCAGAAGATTGAGGGAGTACTTGGACTAGGTGACACCATTTTGACAAACGCTAATTCACAAAGTGATTTTTTGGGGATGAAATATAAAATTGTCGGTTGCTCGAAATAAATTGTATTTGCTAGTCAAAAAATATATAATATATATACACTTTATTTACAATTATTTTTGGAACCGACTAAAAGTGTACGTTTCTCTATTTCTTTTTATCTATGAAAATTTACAAGCAAATCTCTGTATTATCTCTTTGGCTGAAAGCATCGTGACGACATTCATAAAAGAATGTACAAGATGGAGGGACCAAATCTAGTACAAGACACCAAACGGGCTACTGCCTAATGGTTAGGTTGGCTGGCTACAAACTATGAAATGGTAGAGAAGAACTAGATTATTTCTGTAGCCTTTCTTTAAGCCACTCTTTAAATTTTGTCCATAATAGCTCAGTAGCTAAATAATGCCCGTAAAAGTTGTTGAATGAAATTTTTTTATTACAGAAAAATTTATTCCACTAAACTTACAAAGACATGATTTAATTAGTGACTTCATAAAAGGACATTTGTTCAAATAACTCAGAAGTACTGACGGTGTTACAAAATTTACATGAACTTGTATTTGAGGCTACTGCTCAAGAGATCGAACTTTTTGATTTCCTTTTCATTTAAATGATATAGATGAAAAATGAGTTTAAAATAAAAAATACACACAGAACCCAATTTCGGAAAAATTAAGTGTAAATCTTGAATCTTTTTTTTTTCTTTTCTTCTAAATTCCCTTAATTCTATTGTTTGGTTTTGTCCACTAGTTACTTCATTATTCCTTCCAACTTTGATTTAAGGATCAATTTCTGACTACAACTTTAGGTGGTCGACATTTCTGCCTCCTACATTTGTACTCATTTTCAGTTTTAACCATTGATTACACTACTGAGTAATTTAACTGACTTTAACTCATTTTCTTTTTTCTATTATCAACTTATATATAACAATAAATACTTGATACTTATACATTGTTAATAAATACAAGTTATAGCCAGTTTGTTCAAGCTTCTTTTTGGCGAGAATTTTTTTTTTTTCAAAAGTGTTTTCTCCCTCAAAGTTAAGGTTTTCGGCCAAGTTTTTCGAAGGAAAAAAAATGCTTTTGAGTAGAAGCAGAAGCAGTTTTTGAGAAGCAGAAAAAATAGCTTTTTCCAAAAAGCACTTTTGAGAAAAATATATTTAAAAGTACTTTTTAAAAACTTGGTCAAACACTAATTGCTGTTGAAAAGTGCTTTTCAAATTAACTAATTAAACACAAAATGCTCTCACTAAAAGAACTTATTTGAAAAATATTTTTGATTTCCACCCCCAAGAACTTTGAAGCAGCAGCTCTGTGAGATAAATGATAATGGAGTATTCCAAGTCCAAGAAAAAATCACAGAACAATCAAATCAACGTGCAGAATCAGAAGCTGAATATGAAAATAAGCTCAAGCAAAAATGGCAGTGGTATTGCTAGTGTCATTTTGTTAGGTGGAGCATTTATCACAGCTGCTCTGGGTTCTGCATTCTTGGTTGAAAGAAAGTGCAGGAAATCAACTCAGAAGATTACAAAGAAAGAAAATAATAAGAATTCTGAAGATGGATCGAGTAAAGGGCTTCATTTTCTTCTTCCTGAGTCTTCTCCATGCATAGAGCAGCAGCAGGTTTCGAGGTTAGTTATACAAGTTTCTAATTAGACTACTGACAAACTTATACCTAATAATAGTGTTACAACAACAGCTAAAACTTAATTCCAACTAATTGGTATCGCTTATATAAGTCTTTTGCTTCCATTATGCCATATATGTTCATAACAAAATTGTCATTGATTATGAGAGATTGAGGGAGTTTTCATTTATGTCCAGCTTATAGAATGTCAATTCATTTTAAATTTCAGCAATGGGACTGAGAAGTTGTGTGTCGATGATTCCATCTCCTTGTTCTCCACTCCATCCTTTAACCAGGTATTTGCTATCTCATTCGTGTCTTTGCGGAAAAAAATAAAATAAAATTAGAGCATTTAGCATGGTTCAAGAATTGAGAAAAATCACGATCTTTTGAACAAGGTTGAACATATTTTAAGTGAAAAAATAGCATGTCAACTTGAAGTACTAGGTAGTGAATTCTGATAATGCTTGTATTTTGGTCTAGGATGAGAAGCCTAATCTTGGGATGGATGATGAAAAAAGGGACTCCCAAACTGCTATAGTCTCTGATCATCCAAAAGAAGAAGAAAAGTCTCCATCTTTCGAGAGATTGACGGTTGACAAGGAAGAATTGGAGTCATCAGAGATCAAGATTTCATTGCTGCCTGATCCTGATCAAGAACTGAATAAGGTTACTTTAGAAAGAATTCATGTAATCCAAGGAAATGAGAAAACTGAGATGGCCACAATACTCTACGAGCCATCTTTGCAAGTAGATAATAAAAGAGAATTTTCGGTTGACAACAAACATAATGATAAAGGAGAACTAAGTGAGCTGCAACATACTGATATGATTGAAACAGATAATTATGAGGCGGTTCTAATTCAAGAGCAACAGAACCAAGCTATTGGTGACCAAGAAATTTTCAGCCCTGATGGCTCTTTACCAGAAAGCAGCACCTCTAGTGAACAAGATTTCTTACCAGTACAGTTATACAGTGTGCCCCTTTTCGAGCACAAACAGCTGAACTATGCGCATGGACAAGCAAATAAAGCCGTTGAAACTATTGAGTTAATGAAGGCAGCTGATGAAGATGAGCATAAAGACCATATGCAGATTACTGATTTTGAAGAACAATGTGCTGATGTAGAAACTCAGATTGATCAAATTGCCAAGAATTGCAACCTAAAAATGCAATGTAATGATGAAAATGAACGTTTCAAGGAGAACGATCAAGCAAATTCCTGCAATGAGAAGGCAACATCAGAAAACAGCCCCTGCAGCTTGGCAGCCCCTGCAATCAGAAATGCATCAATAGATGATCAACATTCTGCTGAAGTGGTTCAAGTGATAAAAGAAACAAATGCAACGGATATCACACCTGGTGGAGAGCAGAGCCTAGAAGCAGAGCATTCACCTATCCGGTTTGTTGAGAAACAAAGCTTTGAACGCAATTATCAAGGAACTGGTTTAGAGGAAGACAAAGAGACCTCAGAGACGCTAGCTGTGAACATTGAGGTAGTGGAGAAGGATCTGGAAGCGCGTAGCAGAGAAGCAGAGGATGAAGTGGCAGAGAGTGTTTTTGTAGATAAAGAAGAAGATGATGGCTACGATAACGACATAGACAAAGAAGATGTTGCAGATGACATCTCGGAAGGAGCAGGAAACTCCTCCGAGCAATCCAACATTGAAAAACTTTGGCCAGCTAACTCAAACCAGGAACTTTTATTGGAGCTCAAAGAGAAGAAGGTGAAAGAAGGAATGAAAATTGAAGATGATGAGACATGCTGCATTTCGAAAAGCACTCAGAATGAGTTCGACATAACAAGTTGCCAACAGAGCAATGATGGCAAAGATGATTCTGCAGTGAATGTTACTGAGAGGTACCGAACGAAGCTCATGAACCTGGATGATGTAGCTGCAATCACCAGGGGAAGGAGAGTGCTTTTGGGAGGACTATTAGCGCTAATCTGCTACTTGTGCTTAAAAGCATTCTCCCTTCCTGCATTAGCGGATTCAAGATTTTAAATCAGGGAACGCAATATACTACTGAACTTACTAAGATAATAAGTGTCACCAAATTTGAATAATTAAATATATGTATAATTGGATCCCCCAAAGGAATGGTGCATGTCTTCAACCGTGAGCTACAAATAAGAGCACATTTGTTGCTTTAGGTAATAATTTAAGCCTCAAAACTTCGCTGCACTTATTTTTTTTCTCGGCGAAAAGAATTCCCTGGATATCTAAAATGCAGGATATAGAACCATAGGAAGTCCACGTTACCGAGACTGTTTGTTCCTTTGACTTGGTCTTTTGTTTTAACCTTATGCTTAACATACCCATCAAAGGAATATAAGCTTTAGAACCTTGATGGAGAAGGGTATTTTTAAGCATGCATCAGTTTTTATTTGTTGGCAAAACCAGATTCAGAATTTATATCGCACTGCTGTTTTGTGATAGTTGATCCTGGTTCTACTTTATCTACTCTTGCGGCCTCAGTCCATAGTTTTATGCAAAAACATTATTGAATATTACATTCTAAACCTATAATTTTAAGGAAGCAGTAGGTGTAGTGACAACAGCCTGAACCCGTTAAGTAAATCTTAGATCAGCCTCTGCCCAGAAAAGGAGGTCAGCGGGATTGCGTCAAACCCATATTATCACATATAAGAAATAGATACTCAAAGAAAAAGGATAAGATCGGGAATACATAATACATTTTGTATAGAATATCTATCATTTTGTTGGAGTTCGTATAGTTCAAAATGCCTTTACAAGTATAACTCGTCACTACTCTTCCTTTATATACACAGTCGCCTGACACCATATTGCCTAATATTGTTTGCTTCTATACTTGTCAAGAGGGTGGGAGGGGAAATATTTTTTTAAAACTAAGAGAAAAACACCCAGAAATGAGAAAAAGGGAATTATGGTTTTAGAGGACAAAACTTTTTTCCCAAGCTTTCAACAGCTGGGCAAGTACTCTTCATCAGGCCATTAAACTAGCATTCTAGAAACTGTTTGTTCTCTGACCAGCTGCAGCCCGTGGACCATCCTAAAACACCTAGGATCATATCGATCCTTGCACATGCATCAACCTGCAGGAGCTGAGAATTCAAAAAATTGGCACATGAAGAGAAAGCTGTTATATTGACGCATGTTCAGTAAGCATACCAAACTCTCGAGGCTCGCTTCAATATGAAATAGCTCGACAGCCATCCCCTTCCCTCTATCCGTCTCAACCTGCAGTTTTTGAAGTAACTATTCAGTTATCTCATGATTGAAACGGAAGGAGAATAAGACTATTTAGTTGCTGAGAGCTTCATGCACTTTTCGGAATGCAGATTCAAAAGGTGACATCCCAAACATAATAGAAGAATGCAAAGGAAAGAATGGAAATTAATATATAGGTTGCTCAGCATAAAAGTAGCTGCGAATTGTTTTAGTCCTTGCCCTCATAATAGTTCAGCACAAATTTCTCTTAGTCCACCACTTTCACAATGAATGTTCAGATACTGTCTTTACATGCTCTGTAAATCTGAATCCTATCCCGCCCGTTTCCTACTTATGAGGCCATAGCTTGTTCAAAAGCTAAATACCCTCCCAAAAAGGTTTTCAATCAGTCCAGGTGTTACATTCATTTTTTCTTACTTCGGCATTAGCATATCGAGAAAAGCTATGTATGCTCTCTCACTGCACCAAGATGTAAGCGTTGAATCTAAATAACTAACTTAAACTTGCAAATTCCTCGTTTAACATTGTTAGCTCCTGCTGACATAGGAAAGATCAAAAAGCTAACAGTGTCACCTACTTCATCACAAACTGCCAAATTGAGATAGCTAATAAAGATATCTAATTCATGCTGAGCCACTACAATGGAGCAGTTCAGGTTCAGCTATTAAGCATATAACAAATAGTGAACACTTTCACAAACGCAAGCTTAGTTTAGCTACCAACTGCTAACAGCTTCATTGTCCACCCAAACCTTATTATAATTCCGATGATCAATATGCATAGCTCAGGAGTTTGAAACCTAGATGAAAAATAATGTGATTTCCTTTATAAAGTAGATGGAAAATAATGTGATAAATGTTCAACTCACCGAACAAGAACATATGCTGATGCCTACGGCTGCCAATGCTGAAGTAACATCCGCCATCATGCCTAATTAAAATCATGGTTTGAGATATCAGCCACTAAAAGTAATAAACCATAAAAAAAATTGATCAGATATTAAATTCTTATTAATCATGGAAAACTGGAATTCCAGTTATGGTGATAGACAATATTCATGTATAAATGAATATATGAGGTTAGCAAACTGGAATACAGGTAGTTGGATCTATAAAAATTACATCAAAAAGATAAAAACAAAATTCAGTAGTTAAGCTGTAATTAACAACTAAATGTTAGATCTAAACTTTAAACACGTCATTCTTTGGAACTTGAAAATACTTTCTCCTTCAAGGTAGTCAAACTTTTAAACACGCCATTCTCACACATCTCACAACGGGTATGCTGTGATGGTTAGGATCTCTACCCTTAACCAGATGTCTCAGATTCGAGCTCGAGCCCTAGGAATGGAGACATTGCTGATTTGGAGCGCTTTTCACTCCCCTCCCTTAGTGGGCATACCAGTGCGAGTCTGGATTGGCCGGGCCGGTAGGTTTAAGCTACCAGATGCCTGAAGCAAAAAGTGGGGGAAAAAAAAAGAAGAAAATACTTGCGCTGCTAGTGGTAATGATTTTTTCAAATGACTTAGATAGAACCACCAATCCATAGGAAAGTTCAAAAATGCATCTACAGTAGATCAGCAGTGATGCCTTATCCAGTTTGATGCCCATATAAAATAATTAGCCTTTAGCCCAACCATTACCTTTTCGATCTATATTGACAACACAAAGCCACTGGACAGAGTGCCCTTCCAGGTTATGCCAAGTTGCAACTTTGCTAGCCAGCCAGCCGTCCAATCCTGGCAGAACTTCCCTGTACCTTGGTATGTTAGCAAGAATCACTTTGCCAACACCATTTCCTTGTGACAATGTCTCCCCTGTGGCCTTCAAACTCATATGCTGCATGCATTTGTTATGTTTCCCATTTACCTTGGGAATCTGAATACTACTACTTCGGAGTTGGAAAATATCTTCAGTACTCATACTTGCAGATGATGTTTCCATAACATTCTTGAGGATTTTCTCCCACGAATGTTTGGTTTCCTTAGAATAATCTGCTAATTCTTCCAATCCACTGTCACCTTCAGACTCGGCCACAAATTCCTTTACTGAATCCACTGTTATTTCAGTTGCTGATAATGCAGCTTGCTCTCTCAAGAACTGAGGACAAGATGAGCACCACATTAGTTAATCTGTAAGAGTGGTAATACTACACACAAAACTTCCGTTTTAGCTATGCAAAAAACACCTACTTTCATAATCTTGTGCCGGGCACTACGAGTTTTTGCATGTTGAAGCCACTCTTTATGTCTCTCAAAAGCAGACTTGCTGGAGAGACCCTGAAAAGGTAAACAGCCAGATGCTTGTAAATACCAGCATGATGAACTAATAACTTGGCCGCATCAAGTAACAATTTACTAAGCTTACAAAAAGTAAAATAATGATGATACTACACATATAGGTTGCTCCGTACTCCAAGGCACAAAAATCCAACAACTTAAAGTTCGCTACAATAAATCCAATTTCAGACTAAACGATAGCTAATCCTTGCGTTAGCCGTTAGAAATAAGTGTTTGATGGTAATATCAACTATCCTTTTGGTGCACTTACGCGCATAATTAAATGACAGAAGCACAATAATACATAAAGAATATCTTTTCTTTTTTTATGATAAATCCACCTGGAAGGCTGGAACACCTCAAACACCCTAACCACCCCCCCCCCCCCCCCCACAATAAAATCCGTGGCTGGTTCCGGCTTTGCTCCGTAGGTGACTCAAATTCCCAACCTTATGGTTGGAGGTGGCGACCTTGCTAGTAGACTATCCTCCCTTGCCAACAATACATATTTAAGCATGACAAGTTTAAATGTCAATAGCACAAGAAGGAGGTGCAAGAACTGAAGAATTAAATGGAAAAGGAAAACCAAAAAGATACATGCTTTACATATTAGAAACAACTGAACTTTATCTTCTTCTTTTTTTGATAAGTAACAGCTGAACTTTATCTGCATAACCTTGTGACTCTAAGCTTCTGCCAAAACCCAAAACCACAAAAAATTGCTTTTCTTCCACCCATAATGCTTAAACTCTAAGGTTTAGTTGATATTTAGAATGTTCAGAATTACAAGACATATAAGACATGATTAAATGTCTCGGCAAGACTAAAACAATGAAAATGTAAGAGCTGCCCACAAAAGGAGGAGGAAGAAATATAGAGATGAGAACATAAGCAAAAGAAGGTACGGAATTCATAGCAACTAACATTGTAGGTGATAATCTCTACGACTTCTGCGTTTGCAAGTACATGCAATGGAGAGACAAGATTACCATTCACCTGCAAACAGAAGATGCTGCAATCACATCCAGATTCATTAAGCATTAAAAACAGATAGTAACAAGAATAAAACCTTTGCGGCAACCATTTTATTGCCAATTTCAGTGTGTATCATATACGCGTAATCAATGACGGTAGCCCCCTTTGGGAGATGTTTTATCTGCAAAGGGCAAAGTTGTACAGTGATAATGTAACAAGACCCAAAAAGGCAACAAATTGAGTAGAAATATCGAGCAGAATTTACCTCTCCTCCGGGTGTAAACACAAAGACACGACTACCCAACAGATCTCTGGTAATAGTGTCCACAAATTCCCTAGAACTCATGTTTCCAACGAACTCTTCTTGCCACTCCCTAATCGCATTCAACCAGCCAATCTACAGCAGAAAAGGACTTTACCAACAACAACAAGAACTACGCCTTAGTCCCAAACAAGTTGGGGTCGGCGATATGAATCCTTATTCCTTTCATTTAGCTCAACTCATATCATCATCATTACCANATTAAAGTAATAGGCTAAAAAGTTATTCTGATACAGGAAACATCAAAGAAAATTTTAAGATTTGAATAGTTTAGTATTTGAATTCTTGGAAATAGAATGGTGTCAAACATTCTTGGATGTTCCAACATGAAAGTGTCATAAATATTGGTATAGAAGGAGTAACTGATATCTTCGTTATTCATAAGTTCTGGGAGGTGCCACGAATGTACCTGAACTTCCAAACGGAACATGCTCTCATAAAGAAATGGGATCACTGTTGTATGAAGACTTTGATAGCCATTAGGCTTTGGAGTGGCGACGTAGTCTTTCATCTGTTGCAAAATGTTACAAATAGGATCAAAGTCCATTAGCATATCACAAGAATAAGGGATGCAGATATATTATTCAATACTTACAGCCCGCGGGATAGGCGTCCAAATTCCATGTACAAGTCCAAGCACATGATAGCATATCTATAGAGGAAAAATATGTTAGAGGCATCTCTATACATTATACAGAAAAAGGTGCAAGTTTAGGTATTGATTCAAATATGAATTTGATGCATCGTGCAGCAATCTTTCTGCTTAATGTCCAATTTAATATAGAAACTTAGGCACCAATCTTTTTTTTTATAAGGTAGGTTAAACATTCCTCATTGACGTCGCCGTTGAATGAGCCTGACCACAAAGTATATGATGTATAAGACATTAATGACCAATCTATATGATGTATAAGACATAACTAACTGGTCTTATTTTAAAGCAAAAATTAATGACCACAAAACATCTACTGAACGTGCAGTATTCCAGTAACAAAATACACCGCCATTACCTACTTTTATCTTAACGTTGGGAATACACAAGTAGTGTACCTACTTGTTCACTTCCCGATGTTCTGGTCAAAGGTTTCCAAATTATAACCCCCTTGAACTTGAATAATAATGTTATAAACAACTAGAATTGTGGTAAAACCCAACAAAGCATTCTACTTCAAAAGGAAGTGGTATCTGCATCTTCATAACATGTTACCTGCTGTGCACTGCAAAGGGGCCTAACTCCAACACAAGGCTTTGGTTTTATAATAATTCGAAGCTGGCAATCCAAGAATATAAAGTTAATATACAACCTTACACACAACACAGCATCATCTATCAAATCAATCAAGCTTACAACAAAAGAAGACCTGCGCAATTTGGTTCACTTCATTTATCGAGTTCTTAGATTTCAGTACTGCTTTGTAGATGCTGCAGATAAGAATCACAAAAGCTGGCTGAGGAAACATTCACCATTGCAACCATAAAATATGTATGTATAGGTTACCAAAAGGGGCACATTTCAGGTGTGAATTAAAAAATAAAATTTAAAGATCAGAAAAACCGAGAACTTCCATTATAGCTTTGCTTTTTGGAAAATATGCACTATTACTCAAAGGCCATGCCTATATTTGGAATAAGCAGGAATAGATCTAGCAATTCAACCTTCTCATACTATGTGGGACATTTGGGAGTATCATAGAAACTCCAAACACGAAAACAATACAACAAATTAGACAATATCACTACAGCCTGAAAGTAGAGAAGAAAATTAACATACTTTTTCCCTCCAGGTATGGAAAGAAATTGGAGAAAAATACTTGTGAGTCCAAACTGAATATTCCCTAGATCCCAAACAATGTACAAGCAATAGGCGGAACGACAATAAGAAGAGGTTCCACACTTCGGGGCCGAAAGAGCAACGTGCTGGTAAAATGGTTATGAGTCATTAATCAGCAATTTATCAGCTAATTAAGCAAAACCAGATGGTAGAGCAACTTTTTTTGATTAGGTAGATAGTAGAGCAACTAATTAGGTAGGCATCAAGCTAAAGTGGAATTTGCATTTCCTTTGAGGCTGTGATAACCAACCACTAAAAAAATTACTACCAAACAAAGATAATCTTGAAAGGAAAAAAACTGTAAGAATGCCAGGACAGGCAATAAACAACAAAATAAATATGAACTTAGGAGTTAGGACCAGGAAATTGGCATATGCGCACCTGTAAGGTTCCTTGCATATTGAATGAATTTCAGTCTTCACCGTCACGAGGTCTAAGAATTGGTCTTCCTCTATTTTCTTCATCAATATTCTTTTTGCCTAAGGGAAGAAAAGACGCATTTAGAAAAAGGTGAACTGATAACTATGTACGACTTTCAATAAACAACACATTGATAACAGATAATGTTCTCTGCTTATAAGTAACAGTTGCATGTCGCAGCATGGATGGTTGGATGACAGAGGTCTTCTGAGCATTATAAGTAATTAGGTTCTAAAAGGGTGAGGTATAAATACCTCTTTGAGTTCTTTTTCATGTTCTTTATAAAGTTCTGCAATTCTTCGCTGCACCCTGGCATAGTCTTGAGCATTTGTATACATAAATGCTAAGTTTTCAAGTTCTGACTGCATGATGATAAGTCAAATATTCATTAAACTAAGCAGATATAAAACCATAATTTAGAGAAAAGAAACTGTACATAATGAAACAAGTGGCAGTAAACCACAACACTTCAAAGCCTCTTACGTAGCTTCCAGAGAAAATGCCCCACTCAGCCCCAATTCTCTCACTAGACAAAAGAAAAGGACAGGTCCATCTAGGATAAAGAAGGCTACTAGAGGACAAAATAGATCAAGAGAGGACTAAAACGAAAATCACTTAATCAGCTGCATCATAGGTCTCTTTGCAGAAGAGATTCCAAACTCGAGATGACAATATTAATATGATCACATATCACTGATAATGAGTACGAGTACTATTATCATTAAGCAATTCCAGGAAAAGGGTTAAGAAAATGAGAGACATTCATGTACATCAACAGCTAACTATACAGTTCTGAAGGCCAGACAAGTGACAACCAGCCACTGTATGGAAGGGAGGAAGAAAAGGAAATTTAAATTAGGTACAATATATCTTAGGTATGTCAAAGCATTTAAGAGTTTTAAAGAAGCTAAAGAGACCTTGATTTGGTATATTCCAAGAAGTTTTGCCAAAGGAGCAAAAACCTGCAGCGTCTCTGTTGCAATGCCAGACTGGAAAGGAAAGAGAGTAACAAGATTGTTAGAGATTAGACAGAGACGGATACAAAAAATTAAGATGTACATATACCTGCTTGTGTGGAGTCATATGTGAAAGAGTGCGCATATTATGTAACCTATCAGCCAATTTTACAATTATAACACGAACCTGAAACAGAAGCATTTTAAATAAGGGACTGTTAAGAAAGTAACTAAATCCGTACAAGTAAACAGGGGCATTACCTCCTCCGTCATGGAAAGAAACATCTGTCTAAGGTCATCAGCTTTGACATCCTGTACATGGCTTTCATCCTTGCACTTGATCTTTCCGAGCTTGGATACCTAACACATCAATCCCATTTACGTCAAAAAGGAATAAATTTCTTTTAATTGTTTAAACTATATATATATAACTATATATATATATATAGTTATATATATATAACTGTCGCCCCTTCAACAATACGCCGAACTGTCGGACCAAATTCCTTCTCTATTCTTTCAAAAGTAACTA